CAATAATGAAAAGCTCGACTAGTCGTCAAAGGAAAAAAAATAACATTTCATTAACAGGGGGCAACTTGTGTTATATAAATATACACTTGATACATGGTTTCGTTTTGATTTGTGTCTTGCACGAAAAAGGGTAATGTGTTAGCTATGAACATAAATCTACTAAAACCCGCAGTTTATCACATCGCCTACAGAAGCTATTAAGTGAATTAACGGTCTGAGTGTTCAATTATTTTGATTACGAAGATTTTGCCATCAAAAATAATTACGCCATGGGATATTATCACATCTATAGATTTGATTTTGATTTTTATCGGGATTTTAACCCGGTTCAAAATTCCACTGTGCAATTTTTAAGTGGAGTCTTTGAGGCCATTACAATTGATATCAGTTTTGAATAAAACCTGTACAAATGCTTGAAAACGTAAATTGTTGGTATTGGCCTAAAGAACATTTCACTGACTTTCCGTTGTAAACCCAAACCCGAACCTTAACCAATAATATACTGTAAAGATTACTTAAAGTGCAAGTTCTCATAAAACAGCGTCTTTCTTCATCAAACATAAATAAAACATTCAGACTGTAAAGATACAATGTTATATCTAAGCATATTTCCATATTTGATCGCGTTTCGATGAAGATGTTTCACGATGCTCAACACCTCTCTCGCTGATTAATATTAGGAACAAAGCATCATAAAAACACTTTATACGACAGCTAATGATGATAAGTTTTCACTTCATCAATTCTGTTATGTATAATAAAAACAGAAAACAGACAGCGAGGAGCTCCGGAGAAAATTGGCTCTCTTAAACCTTGAAGACAACAGTAAGAGTTATGAACTGTGAGACGCGTTGTTATGTTGGGTAGAATTCAGCTGCTAATCCATTATTGTAAACATTGAACAGGAATAAAACTCAAGAGGTTGTCATAAAAGTCTACTTTTCTAGTGGACCGTAAGATAAAGATGAACTTTCACATAAAGAGAAATAACTTTTGGGTCTTAATACGGATGGGTGGCATTACACCGCAGTGGGCTGCAATGGTGCATTGTGCCAACTATTGACAAAGTTATACATAATAGACTCGTTGACTTTTAAATATGGTATTGAATGACAACAAATGCACGAACAGGCGAAGGGTGCGTCTACACAAGCAAGATGTTTCTGCAACAATTTAATTTTAAGTTTCTATTTTTATCAGCTTACAATAAAAATTCTATACAATAATATCATGGTGCATAGTGTCAGAATTCAGTTTCTGAAAATACATTACCACTGTCAGCTCAACAGGTACGTTAACGCGTATATGCAACTTAAAAAAAGACTAAGCTGAACAGAGAACACGGTCCCCTAAGTATACAACATATTGCTTCCTGCAAGAATATCAAAAGACATTGAAAGAAATACTGTGTTTTTGCCTTTGAGGTGTAACTTTATTTATGTCGCGGTTTTCTTGACGAACCTGACACCCTACCTTTGTGATTGCACATACGCAAAAAAAATAAAAAAAAAAAAAAAAAAAAANAAAAAAAAAAAAAAAAAAATGCGTAATTTGAAACAGGAAATGCCAGATTATAATTGACACTCGGCAATAAGATTGAATTGTTTTTGGTCTTTGGAAAATTGCATTAATCTGACAAAGTGTATCTTAAGAAATATCCGAAATTGTTTTCGACGTAATAGATATGAAAAATGACGACAGATGAGAATTTCGAGAAGAAAAGAGCAGTATCAGTTACCCTTTTCATCATACAATCTGAAGATCGATGCGCTACTGTTTGTGGCAGTGAACAGAAATCGTGTCAATTAATAACAATTTACAAATTCGATCAAGGATTTCGAACTTATCATTTTATCTACTTTGAAGGAATGGACGTATATAAATCCCGTCAGGCGTTACAACAATTCTCATTGTCGTTTATGACTGCATGGTTCTGAAGAGTGACAAGACACTGCAACCGACTTAGATATATCTTACACAATCAAAGGTAAAGTGCTATCGTGCAGAATAATTCGTCCACATTTATCTTTTCACCAAATTGATTTTTTAACAATGGATCCCATTTCTTTACCCTTTATAATCTTTCTGCAGCATGCAACGTTTTTCTATTTATGTTACGGCAGCATTCAGGAAACGGTTTTTGTTAAAGTCGACCATTTTCATATCATCATGTTATCACTTTAAATAGCGTCTGTCAACATCCCAACACACATTATTTTCATTTCTCTCTAAGGGTGGTGTATTGTGTGATATTTCGTCGTCATATGACGGTAGACAGACGGAAAACTAGCGCGATAGAAAAGAGCATTCTTGTCGCGCGTGTATCATATCCTAAAATCCTAGTTCTTAACAAGAGGACGGCACCCTATGCCAGTAATTTGTAACCTGGACAACATTCATTCCAATCTCTTGGTCCTTTCACGTAATATTTAATGTTCCTGTCGCGGTGAAAAATGCCCTTAAAGGCTACAAATGCCCCATGAAAACTTCATAAATGGAAAATAGTGGAGCAATGGCGCGGTCATTACAAGAATAACCGCTGTAACCTCGTCGGCCGCGGTGTTTCGCGGAAATTAATAGAGGGTTAATAGGGCACAGTGGCGCGTGCATGGGGCTACATTTTATTAAGCTTATCCACCGGGTTACTTTGCAAAGCTTTTTTAAAGGTTCATTTACCAACAACCCAGTACATAGATGACAATAGCTAAACCTTGTTTTTTATTTTGGGCACTGAAAGGTACGCGTGCTGAACACGCAAATTGGGAAGACACATTTCCTGTCGATCTCTATATGTAGTGATATACACGTCATCTGAAGACAGATTTTCCTATACAGGTTTGCAAGAAAGGCAAATAGCATGCTTTAGACTCACACACCATACAAAAAGAGTTGATTCATCTCGACTCTTTTTGTTTGACATCTATAAAAATCAAATCCCATTAATAAACCTTGTGACAAGAAATTTCATCACGCAAGATTTCCGCTAAAAGAGTATATAGATTTCCTGTAAACCTAATTCGCATGCCATCTTTATACATATCTTGCTCAATTTAGGTATGACAGTAAATTAAAAACAAAAACAAACACAATTCATGTGAGTGTAAAGCAATTCATGCCTGATCCATTCACTTTTTTCGTTTTAGATGGTATAAGAAGACCAATTGGGGGAAATGCAGTGTATAAATAACATCCTACTTTCGCTCCTCGTTCTTGTTCCTGTGCCACTAACATGTGGGCAAAGCAAAGAAGATCGAGAGGCAAACTTTCGAAGCCAGGTTTTAAAGTGCCTAGAAAATGTTTACTGGACCGAGGTTGAGTATACGAAGTTGTTGGAAACAGAAATGGCGTCCTCCTCTGAAAGCGATGTCATGACGTCATATTTCACTAATTTAACAATGACAGCGTCCCCGGAGACGGTGACGTCACTCTCTTTAGAATACGATCACCAGTGGCAATCTGTTACTCATAATATGGTGCTAGAGACACAAACAACACATGTGGGATGGAACTTGCGTGGAACAAGCATCGAAACAATTACAGGTACCTTGTCGACCGTCCCGTTGAAAGAACACAGTGCGATATTTGAGAAAACTTCATATGTTGTTTCCCATTCCTCTCCCAATACGGTGCCTAAAAGTATACAAGCAGCTACGGGTACACCCGCTACACATAGTAGTAGTAGTTTATTACATACGGTTACTGACACATCGATTGTGGGCTATGGCGGTGGAGAAAACAGGTCTTCTCTTCCCGGTATTCTACCCTCGCAGATGGAAACTGCAGGAAAGGAAAACCAAGTCGGCACGGATCGGTTGCCTGATACTGCAATAAGGACAGCCCAATTCGCTTCTACACACAGGCAAAACAACGGTAATGGGATAAGTGAAAAAGGAAGGTACCGTGGTCTCGATGATGTTACAACATTCGGTGTTGAGCAGAAAACGATCTCGCGGGATTTATCTAGGGTATTTTCAATACATTCGGCAAACATTGTACCCAGTGGACCCCTCGCAACCTTCGGTTATAGCTCAGATGAAAGCCTTCCAAAACGCAGACGCAATAATAAGAAAAGGAAACGAAAAAAAGGGAAAGGTCGCAGGAATCGAAAGGGTTCCAGAAGAAGACACAGTGGCTCAGGAGAGGTGAGAACGAGGGTTCACAGCACGCCCCTGCGTACACAAGCGTTTTCAAATACAGTAATTGAAACATTAATACCAAGACACAACGAAGAGAGGCATGTGGGACCAAATGAATCAACTGGGAATTCCATACTGCCAACAAATAGTAAAACCGAGACGACAGAATCTGCCTCGGCAGACTACATTCAAATCTCAACAACGAGCAGCCCTTTTGGAACTTATGATTCCACATCGACGGAAATTTTTGAAAAGGCCGTTACAAAATTTATCCGACAGGCTTATAACACCAGTGGTACAAATGACAATATAGCAGGAAAGAAAATGGTAAATAATTCCAACAGCACCTCTGTGCCCTTATGCCCAGGTGCTACAACCGAGTTTTTAAACGTTTTTGGAAATGACACCAGCAATATTACAAATGTGTCTTCGCTGCCTTACGCAAGTTGTGACAATAACACAGCAAACGCATTAAGTCTCAACGCAACCCAGCACAATGTGTCGGGTGTCTCAACTACAGCAATCACTAGTAGCGATTTTACAATTATTATTCAGCGGATCCTGCGTAACCTAACATCAAAGTCGGCTCGACAAGGATTTTTAAAATGTGTTCGTAAAATTTGCGGTCAGGGGCACGGAGAATCAGGGTGCGGAAGTTACATGTACTTAACGTCTCCATGCGGATCGTTTAGCAGCATTGGCTATACGGCCGCCCAAGATAGTTATCACAATCACGCCTCTTGCCAGTGGATTATACAAGTCCCGAAAAACCACATAGTGAACTTGACATTTGTCACGTTTTCTATTTCCTATTCAGGCTTCACTTGCAGTCGCGGGAGTGTGGAATTATATGAGGGGACGAATATGACAACTGCCACTTTTATCAAACGTTACTGTGGTAATAGGGAACCCTGGAGCGTGTATTCAACTGGGCGTGGCCTCACGGTGCTGCTTACGTCAACAGTACGTCATCGGTTCAGAGCAGAATATGAAGCGGTCAATGTTAGCGAATGGCGGTTTCTGAAATCAGCTATGAAGTTGTTAGAAGGAGAGGGGCGACTCGTCACAAGTAATGCAACCGTATCGGTCATGACAAAAACCCATGCAATTCACAAATGGTATATCAAAGCTGCAATACGAAAGTATATTCAGTTATCGTGGCAGATAAAGAAAAATGAGAACGACTCAACTTCTTTCTTCAAGGTTTACAGAGGAAGATCTGAGCAAGGTATTCTGTTTCCGGGAACCGAGATTTCTGGAGAAAGCGCGAGATCTGGTAATCTGACGTCACTGCTTTTTGAGCTATACGTGGTTGTCGGAGTCTCTATCGAATATGATGACGTCTTTTCATTGGTAGCCAGATATCGAACTTTAGACCCACCAAAATGTTTCAAACGGAGCAGGTACCGTTCATCACGCCCTCTTTTATGTGTGGAGGATATGAAACTGACAGCGACTGACAATATTAAAATCCACAAATCGGCCTTCCAAATTAACCAGAATGGGACATACAAGCAGTACTCCATAGAAATTGGACGGCCTGGTCTGGTTGCCAACTTCAAGCTTCATCAACTTTGGTTCCCATACAAAAATAATAGATTGTGTCATAAAGCCGGCATTATGTTGTATACGGTGACGTCTCAACAACACAGACCATTACTGGGCCCAATCTGCAGTAGAAATGCAATTTTCCAAGAGCCCATCCCGTTGCCTGATACCACCGTACACGTTGTAGTCTATGCAGAGCCTTACAGTGACAAAGTCGAGTTAAGCTCTGCCTATTTTCTTGACATAGAATTAGAACTGGTTCAAGACTTCCCCCGTGGTCTACTTTCACCTCCTTCCGACTATGTTAATTCAACGAGGTTTTCAGGACAGCAGGATGGATTAACTATTACAGTGAACAATTTGACCACCGCTGACAGTGTTTCACACTCTCTTTCGCTGTCTCTCACGGAGAATACTTTGAGTAGTCTTTCCCACATTCTAATATTTTACGCTGGACAATATGACGACGTCAGGAGCGCCACCTTTTCAATCCAAATCAACGTAACCGATTCACTACGCAGAGCACATGCCACTGTTAAAATGTATTCGGATTCCGATTTACAAGATTGCATAAAGGCGATGACAAACATAGGGAATGGCAAAGTGCCTTTACTGACAACTGCTCACTTTGAGGGGACGTCCTTTGACGTGGAGTACAGTATACGTTGTCCTTGGGTGGCGAGTTCGTTCAGGCTACATCTTGCAGTATACACAGCATCGGACTGCATTGCAGACTACACAACCCCATTGTCGTGGAATAACGATCAAGTTCATGCTATGGCAATCCCATTTGATTGCTCACATCGGCATTGCAATTGCTTCCACCAATCTTCTCCTGTCCCACACCCGTCTCTTCAGCAAAAGGACCTCTACTATTATCACACCAAATTTGGCACGGGGATCGATGGGCCTCCCTGGCAGTACTATATTATTGAGTTACGCCCAGAGGAATGTCAATCACTCTCCTCGGCCCATACTTTCATCGAGAGCAAGCACGCGGAGATACGAGAATTCATGAACACCACGGTAGGAGACAGCATTCAGTTGGCTTACTGGAAACGGCCCACATCGTCAGCCAGTGTCATTAAGACTATTGGGTCCTATGAAGTCAACGTTCGACTTTATTTTGAGAGCGACTACATGATGAGCCCCAAGAGACACCTTGAACTCGTGTACAGCTTATTTCAGTACGACCTGACGATAGACGGCGACACTTACGAAGCGTCAGAATGCCGTGGTGGTGAAATTGCGTTTGATGGCGCATGTTACGGTCTAAATGCATCTCCGGCTAACATCACGTGGGCAGAGAGTGAAGTTGCGTGTAGACGCCTCGGTGGCAATTTGGTAAGCAATATGAAAAATAAAGTTTTCTCCTTGTCAGGTGCTCTATTTTATTGGAAGAATGGCAGATGTTTATCTCTGTGAATAGCACTTACGGGAGTGTAACCCAGTTTCAATCATATGTGCATTCAAAGATTGTAAAGTGGCATACATGTGTCCTTACAACAGCCCTTCTCACTCTTTGCGTATATCCCCAGTACAGGTATAAGTTCCTTGCCATTTTTTCAATGTTCAGATACAAGTTTACTATTGTGAAGTTTTTTTTTTCTTGTAACTTTAACTTATGCACATCCAGCATGTAAATAAGTTGAAGTGAAACATAAATGCAAATTTGTTCATGGCTGCTCATTGCAAAAATAATATAACTTCTCGTTAAGTGTGACGGGGGATCAACATATGTAAAAATCATTGCTCATAATTTTCGTACACTTTTCAGGTCAGTATTGTATCTGAAAAGGAACTGAGCTTTCTGAAAACTGCAATCCGCACCAGATGGAAAAATGCCATCTATTTACAGAAAAAGAATGTGGTGTTCATAGGATTAATGAAAGAGAAAAATAAGGTATGCTTTTTCGTGGGGCTTATTCGATTCAATAACCATGCATTTTAGATAAAGTTTTATAAAGATGTACAAACAGTAATTTTAAAAAATGGCCTATTGCAACTCATGGAAAAGAACCAAAACCGTAGAAAGGTTTGTGTGGCGCATTTCGCATTTCGTTGCCGTCAGAATGGATCCAAAGAGCATACATTTCTCATGCTTAATAAGCTTGTTTCCTTTCACTCGACTGCACCTTTATTCAGATTATTCTTAAGCACTATGTACAGCTAACAGTTTTATGTTCCTTTGCAGAACTGGTTCCGTTGGTCTGACAGCAGTCCGATAGGTGTCACTGACTGGTTCAGACCGTCTTGGCCCACTGACATCAATGTCACAGATATTCTGGAACACCCGAGTATTTCTAAGCTACTGCATCTCTACAGATTCCTTGAAACCCAACAACCTTTAATGGACGTCTCACTGAATTGCACTATGATGTTAATTCATGGCGCAGAGCAGTTCACCAATTGGGTTACGATTCCTTGCTATTTTCCAATGGAGAGAGTAAGTTATATATGTAAACGTATGACGGAATCTAAATTAACAAAGCTGTCGAAGGAGACTCGATCATATTTCAAGAAGATAGGCATAGACCATGATGTCTATGATGATAAAAAACACGACATCGGCAAAAGTGTCCCCTCCTGTGGGAGGGGTTGGCTGTATCACCAGGGCGTATGCTACAGACTCAGCAACTTGGACTATGTTTTTAACACGTCAAACGTAGGCAGTTTCTCTTCCACAGGACCACGTCATCCACCGTCACGAGCAGAACACGAGACCTGGGAAAGCATGGCGCGCATGTGCAACATGTCTTTGGACGTCTGCAGACCTGCCTTCCCAATGGAAACCATGGCAACGACCCCAGATTTGATGTCTGCTCTAGAACGCTATCATCACGCTTTTGGAGATGGCGGGGTGTGGATCCCAGACAACGCTGGTACCTGTTCAACCCTATTAAACGCGGGTATGTCGCTCACATACACCGTTGGTAATCTTAAAACCTGGTTTAAAGAATGTAACGTGTCTTTCCAAAAAGAGCAGTGGTTTCTTTTCGAACTGCTTAAAAAAAGCCCATTGAAATTACGTACTCCGTACATAGTTCAGAACACGCGGCACGTCCTGTGTAGAACGCCTCCGGAATATAAATTTATGACCAAACCAACAGCGGACCCAACCCTGGACCGTAACGCGGTGGAGAAGTACTGCCCATCCCCATGGCACTTCCGGTGCTCTGACAAAACCTGCATACTACAGCATCACAAATGTGATGGCATTAAGGACTGCCTGGACGAGAGTGACGAACTCGATTGCCTTTACTTGGATTCTTGTGATAAACACCGCTGCTACCATAAATGCAACAACGGGCAGTACGTGCCTTTGTCAAAAGCGTGTGATTTTATAGCTGATTGTAAAGACGCCTCGGACGAGTCGAACTGTGTGTTTCAGACTTGTCCCAACGATACCTTCTCGTGCAAGAACGGTCAGTGTGTGTCTCTGGATCATCGCTGCGATGGTAAAGTACATTGTTTTGACGGGTCGGACGAGAAACAGTGCGACTTCAGTACAACCGCGTGCCTGAGAGGTACACGTGTGCCTGCCATTTCTTCAAGCATCTTGGCGCCATTTTGTCCATCTCAACTGAATATCACCTTGTTATACCAAACACGCGAAACATGCGCTGAAGGCACCTTTTCTTGCTCAGATTCTGACCCATCGTGCTATTCACTGGCTGAAACCTGCATTTATGAGTTCGACGACCAAGGGCACTTGTTTCCATGTAGAATGGGCGAGCATCTATCAAACTGTGAAGATTTTGAATGTCCGAGCGATTACTTCTTTAAATGTCCTCGATCGTATTGTATTTCCCTGTCCAGGGTGTGCGACGGAACATGGGACTGCCCGTACGGGCTGGACGAGAAGAGCTGTGAACGCTACAGCTGCCCCGGCATGTTCCGGTGTCAAGGTCACAGGGAGTGCATACACCACGACCTCGTGTGTGATGGCATCGTGCACTGCAAAGACACTGGAGATGATGAAAAATTTTGCAAAACCCCAAAATGTCCGCTAGGCTGTTATTGCATGGGGTTCACTATTGATTGTAGTATGAATGATCTCAGGGAGTTGCCGGCGGTTGACAAAGAAATACGAGGTCTCTTTCTGCCTTTTAATAAACTTGCTCCCAATTCCTCTTCATTTCACGGTTATCACTATCTACGCGTCCTGGACCTTTCGGAAAACGATATAAAAGAATTAATTCCGAACACTTTTCAAGATTTAGTCAACCTTGTTGAATTAAATTTAGCTAACAATGACATTTCAGCGATAAAGAAGGGGGCGTTTGTAGGACTGGCCAATTTGAGAACATTAAATATTGGAGGCAATCCACTCTATGTCTTGAAAAGCTTTGCTTTTTCGGAGCTGAAAAATTTGCCTAGTTTGAACATCTATAAAACAAAACTTCAGACCATAGAAAGCAATGCTTTTCATGGGATGTCGGAGCTGAAAAATCTAAGCATCGAACAGTCAGACTTAACAACTGTCACAAACCACTCTTTCAGCGGTCTTCAGAAACTAGAACTACTAAGTCTTGATGGCAACAAGCTCCCGCCGCAGTCCGTGCCTTATGGAATATTCCTTAATTTATCGGATAACATCACCCTGAACACTGGCTCGTTCCGCCTGTGTTGTCTTGCCCAACACATACCAAACTGCCTGCCGCACAGTAACGAATTTTCGTCGTGCGAATACCTCATCGACGACATGGTCATTCGGCTGCTGGCGGGTTGTCTGGCAGGTGTCGCATTCACTTGTAATCTCGTAGTTATCATATGGCGTTGCACCAAAGTGAGCAACTCCGAAAAAATCATTCCTCTTCTTCTAGAAAACATGGCCTATTCCAACATGCTTATGGGCCTCTATTTGGTGATCGTGACGTCAGCAGACCTTCACTACCGTTTCATCGGTCCCGTCTACGCCGTGGAGTTTGACGAACCGTGGAGGGACATGTTCTGGTGCAGGTTTGCCGGATTCGTGTTTGTGTTATCAAACCAGGTTTCCATGTTAACAGTTGGCATAGTGATGTACGAGTGCTACGCATGCGTAGTGCTTCCACATCTAAGCAACTTCCGATTGAAGCGCCGGACTGCTTTCATATCTATAGCGTGGTTATGGAGCGTCTCTATGCTATTTAGTCTGCTGCCTTTTCTGGGAATTCCGCGCCTAAATGTACGGTCCCCAGTATGCCAGATATTCCATTTCTCTCAAGGCACGGATCAAGACTGGGGGTACTTCACCTTCATATTCCTGGGCTTCTACAGCCTTGTTCTCGTGGCCATCACGTACGGCCTTCTACGGATTTGGTGCCACATTCCAAAAAAGGACCAGAATCTTGACGAAGACTATTTCGCCGAACGGACCGCCATTAAGAGACGCGTTGTCCGCGTGGTCACAATGGACGTTGCCTGCTGGTGGATGGTGCATATTTTGGGTATTTTGGCCCTTGCTGGGGTACAAATAGACAAGCAACTCTCAGCGTACACAATGCTGGTCATATGGCCGATGCCGGCTGTGGTCAATCCTATATTATACTTTATATTTTATATCAAGAAAGGAATCAAATACCCGGATTACATGGAAGTATACGAGCCTTGTGAAAAGCACGTGTCGTTTTTCGGGATGGAAGTTGAGACTTCCATATAAAAGGGTTGCCGTGTGAAAAAAAATATTTTACAAGGATCAGCAATACTTAGCTCAATGAATATTAACGACTTTATTATATTGGCAGGAACATTTGAAATGAAATCATGTCGACATATGACCCAACAAATCAAGAATGTTTTCTATAACTGCTTATACAACAGAATGCTTTTTCAGCCGTTTAATTCACTTGTATTGTCAGATTGACATTCGTTTTATAAGAATAAATTCACTTTGATAAAGTCGGTTAATTAACATGTAGTTACGTCTTTCATATAATCAAAACCTACATTTAACAAATTTGAAATCAAAAGATATTCATAAAGGGCTACTATCCAATTTTAACTAAAAGAATTATGACGAAAAAAATACATTTAGCAAACTGTGATGCTGGGAAAACTATCTAAAATGACGCGTTCATGTACCAGTTATAAAAACAACTGAGCAAAGCTGTAAAATGCTCAGATAAAAAAGCAAATAATGATGAACAAAAAGGGTTATTTTGTAAATTCTGACACTATTTCACGTGGCGCTTAACACCAAAAATAAAATCAATACCAAATTTTGACGAGATTTAGCTAAATCAAATAAATGATAGCTGTCAATGTTTCTGTCAAATTCAAAGGTCAAATTCAAGGTTATATGATGATTGCCAATATATGAGTTGCTATTCAAGTAGCAAGGAGTGTTATCTCTGCCACTTTGGGAGATATACTGGTTGGAATATTTGCAAAGTTCAGTTCATGGTGAAGAGTTAATCAAAGGTAATCTTCAAGGTCATATAATAATTGCCAATATACGAATTGCTATTCAAGGTCAATAGAAACCATTGGCGTATCTTTGCCAGTTTTGGAGTTAAAAGTTTCAGAAAATTTGCAAAGTGCAGTTCATGGTGAGAGGTAGGTAACAGGTAATTGTGTCTGTTCAAAAAAGTTGGATTACATTGCACGAAACAAAGAGCGAAAGTCATAGCCAACTGAACATTTTTTGTTCCAAAGGTAAAAATAACCGGCCAACAACGGAGAAGATATCTTCTCACAGCAAAGCAAAGAAGGGAGCTTATAAAACGAAACTTCGGATCCGCACCCTCTAGGGTAAAACGAAACCATAACAGTGACACCTGGTGGAGAAACACGTTTTTTCAACCTATTGCACATCAACTGCCCGAACGAACTATTTACTGGGTGGCCATACACAGAAGTTTCCGTTAATCGATCAAATCCCTGATCTCCCAAGAGTAGCTCAGACATGCGCATGCAATCCCGCGGACAGTTTTGGTACATTTTCTGACAATCCTTTCCCTGTGACAGCGTTTCATTATCGTGGTAGGTGTCAATCTCCTCTGCGTTTTCTCGGCGTTTTCTGGTTTTTAAAAAATTGGGATGTTTTTCGACCACTTTGTAAGCCGTCCTATGGTTACGTTCGACAGCCCATAGTATTTTCTCACCATACTTCAGGGTCACCAGGTCTACTAGAGACGGGCCAAGGCCGGTGTGTGACGCTTTCACGCGCAGACGACACGTGCATCTGGAACAACACACGGAGTAAGCAATCTGGAACAACGGTCGCAATCGAGCACTGTCAACTTCCACAATATACAAAATGCAAACTCATTCGCAGCAATTGTTCTTTTTAACAACGATTTTTTTAATTTGGATTTTTTTATCACACTTTATTCTCAGGTTAGTACTCACTCGTCCGTTATTGTTTCCGCTTGTTCTAAAATAAAAATAATTGAATGCCTATATTGTAAGATATGATAGTTACTCGTATTTTTATGAAAAAAAATTGTGTAAATAAAGAAAACAAAACGTTCTATCATGTAGGTCTAATTTCGATGATGAAATGTCAAAAAAACAAAAATTAAAAATATGCACTGTCTTTTAGTTGCTCTGGTAAAAAGACATTCGAAACAACTTATAAAACAACTATGCAACTATAAAAACAGCCCTTTTTTCGTCAACTCACGAAAACAACGCCTTTTTTGCCGTCCCAGATAATAGCCGTCCCTGCACGTGCAGTGATATGAACCAGGCGTATTAGCACAGAGGTGTTCGCACCCGCCCTTTTTCTTGGCGCATTCATCAATGTCTGAAATATGGAAAGTCACACAAGTGATATGCGTGTTCATGTTTGATATAAACTACTGCGTGTTAAGTCCAAAGTACTTGACTATCGTGCCATATGGGCAAACATAATGTATATTATGTCAGTCCTTATTTAAACCTTAAAGCTTCGTGAAATGGCAAGTTTACAATGTAGCTTAGACACCAAAGCAAAGAAAGCTAACGAGCGACAGCATTCTTACAGTCGGTCATCCGGGCACTTTGCCCCCCCCCCCAAAAAAAAAAAAAAAAAAAAAAAATCGGTCTCTGGGTTGCAGCATCTTCAATCACGGATTGTTTATTCAAACCTTCTTTTTCTGAATCACGAGTCACGTGAGTCACGTGTACCAACCTTTACAGCTGTATCCATTTTCGCCTAGGAGATACCCTCGGTGACATTGACAGTGAACTGAATGCGCACAAGATGAGTTCACGCACGTGTGGGCGCACCGGTTACCATTTATCAAACATTCTAGAACATTGTGTTTTTCTGTGTTTTAGTGGCTAAATTTTCAATTTGACACAAGAAAGAATAATCCATCATTAAATTTTTTAATTTCCTGTAAAATATATGTACACTACACGTTTACCTGTTAATAATTCAAAATAGATTAAAAAAGGACAGAAAAAAAACTGTCCCACAAATTAAATTTTTTATTGGTTGCGCTAACGAGTTTCGCTACACAACTGCTTAAAAAAAAAAACTCTTACTTTACCAGAGGAAAACGAAGAAACAATTGCCCTGACGGTCTGTTGTGCATAGATATCTATCTTACCACCGCAGCTCCTTCCATTCTCTAAGAGTCGAAATCCAGTTCTACACTGACACCTGTGTGATCCTTCTTCATTCACGCATGCGTGGTCGCAGTTTCCGTTATTTTCTTCACACTCATTTATATCTATTTAAAGTTTGAAAAGATATGAAAGGAGCTGGCAAAATTAGAAAAACATATATCAAAGACTCCCCACATTCTGTTTCGGTGCCTCGCAACTGTTGTCCAACAACTGATCTGTACCTAATCAAATGGGACCCATTAAGACCCTGTAGCTTAGAAAAGTTGAAAAGGACAAATTTCTCTTCCAAAAGTTCATTAAGACTATCTTTCGTTCACACACATTCAGTTCAGCAATATATGACAGACAACCTTAATAACTTCCAGCCAATTGCTTTATACAAAGTAAAAGTTTAAATCGCCTATAGGAGGATAATTATCAGAACTATCTTTCGAACGATCAAGTGATCAGATAACGCCTCAAAATACAGCGTTTTTTTTCACATTTGCTCTGGACAATCAATTGATATGCAACGAGTTGGTACTTGGACATAATAACGTCCAAGAGTGGTACAATGTATACCTTGGCCGGTTAAGAAGATAGCCACGTTTCTGGTGACCCCCTTAAGAAACGATGACCACGAAATGCTAAAGCCAAACAAACCGTAGCTATCATACTAACCTTCTGAGCAATTCCTTCCCGCCCACCCTGGTTGACATGCACAAGTGTAGTCGGTGTCGTTACCTTGGGAACAGTTTCCATGGTGACAAGGAGATAAAGCACAGTGGTCGACTTGAAAAAATTAAGAAATCTCAATTATTCTGTGAAAGACGAGTTTCAAGGACTATAGTATTGAGTAGTTAGGGTGACGAAAAGAGTTATTCTTTATTCAGAGATTCAGAGATTCGGTTCATCAAATGTAACTGTGACAGGGGCGTCCAATTTCCAATGATTTATGGCAGTGTCCAGTTTCCTATGTCGCACTCGGGCGGGAAATAATCATTCACGTGACCAATATAATTCCCTGAACAGCCTATTTGACTATTATTATTAAGTCTCTAAGAAAATAATAAATGTTTTATCGTCCTCTTTGTTTTGAACCTGTTGCATCTATAAAAACGTTGTGGCGGTACGACAATACGGCATATGAATAAAATATTTTTCAAACGACCATATAAACGGACACCGGAGAAGGACTACATAAAAAACATATTAGAGAGATTGAAAAGAAATAATAATCATCATCTTAGATCACTTAACTCTCTGTTGCTTAACTTATACTTTCGTTCGCCAATCCACAAACTTACCAGGCTTGCACTCGTATCTTTTATCACTGATCTTCGTACATGTGTGATCTTCGGGGCATGGGGAGCTCAAACAGGGGTCATCTGAAATAGAATGTACAGTGTGTGTGTGTGTGTGTGTGTGTGTGAGAGAGAGAGAGAGAGAGCGAGAGAGAGAGAGAGGGAGAGAGACTTTCTGGTATTTCTACATAATTCTTTTTTCACCGAAGTTAGTACTTACAGACTTAAAAACACTTAGGATGTTATTATTTCCTGGTCATCTTTATACATGTTTAAAATTGCACAGTATTTAATGTTCATGACATGTCCCATCTCAGATTGAATATGACACCTTGCGTACTTACGTTTAACCCGCCGCTTATCGACGGGAAAAAATTTCGTGGCCGTCACCAAAATCACACCCGTGGTTAACATCTGATATCCCTTTTTTTTTTAAATAAAATGACGACCCCTTCAAGCAGCGAGTGTAACGTGACAGAGGGTCCCTCATGATAGAGAGTCCGCTTCTCAGTCATTTGTTCAGTTAAGCCTCGCCCTAGATATTGACCCACTTAAGTCAGGCCAACCCGAACCATTATAACTATTTATAACAGCTACGGATTTTTGAGGAAAATAAAAAAGGCGAGGATTTTTTTGCTCTGTTTTATGGTTATTTTTCAATTTTTGGGACTTTGGAGTCACTTCCTATTCTGTGTTAATACAATGGGTGTTAACCCATTGTTCTTATTCCAAATCTTTACCAGAGATGAATAACTCCTTTATATTTTTTAAACCTAATAAGTAAAATACTTGCTTCCTATTGTGTAATGTTGCGTCATTTTTATTAACCATAAAAGGTGGGGAGAAAAAAGCGCCAAAGTGCTATTAAAATGCATACCGCAATTAAGTAGAAATATGACTAAATAAAGTAGGAAAATACTTGAAGTCGAGGGTTAGATGGGGAGGGAAGGTGGGTAAAAGAAAGTGATCATAGTAAGTTCACCTTACCTTTTCTTGACTATACTTAATATATCAATCAACTCAGCGTTTTCTTCACAAACTTCGTCCTTCGTGCTCTCTCTTCTATGTAAAGAAGCGATCTGCTGGTGTCTTGTGTTCTCGCGCGTATTACGCGTTGTGTCACGTGACGAACATGCGTAAGTTGTTATTGGTCTATTCTGGTGTAGTAGGAGGAGTGACTGTCGAGTGTATACACCAGCTTATAACACTTATGAGCCACATAGTGTGGCTCAGGAAGCGACTCCAAAATCCTTGCATATAAATGAGATTATTTCATAATCTTTATATGGTGGGCGGACTTTCTGTTACACTGACCCTCAGTTTCGTTACACCGGCACGCGATAGTCTAGGGACCATCTCAAACTTACCTGCGCTGCACGTTATGTGCATTCTATTGTTGTGACATCTTTGGTTGGAATTGGGTAAATGTTTGCACTCCTGTATGGTTGCCTCCGTACCATTGCATTCCACTCTGCCCGTAATGTAACTATAATAGCCTGTTAATTTAAAATTTCTACCTTGAAACGCGATTTTTGCGCTTATTCTATTTGTATTTAAATGTTATGCCCATTTCAGGCCTTGGTTATACACAAATCGTTTGTAAATGTTTCGTTTTGTAAAATACCCCTGCTTCCTTCGTAAACATTCCAGACTAACGTTTTTAAAACGATTTACATCCATTTGAGTAATATTAGTGCCTCTGCTCATCACTGTATCTTTACTCACATAGTGACAATGCAAGGGAAGCATGTGCAGTAACAATCATTGAATGAAGCCATATAAATGAAAAGTAGTGTAAACATGTAGGCCTATGTGTTTTTGAGTTTGGAAACAATAGGGAGCATTCACATCGAAAAGAGCCGAGGTCTAGTAAGGCCGCCACCTAAATATGGCGGCCTCACACGCCTCCCCACGCGTCGTCCCTGCAGGGGCACACTAATTTCGTCTCGGCTCAATCCAATCGGTCGAGGGACGCGTGGGGAGCCGTGTGAGAGGCGGAGAGACCATTACAGGATTAAGCGGTTTCCCTTTCATGTAGGTCCGCCATATTTAGGTCGCGGCCTTATTAGACCTCGGCTCTTCTCGATGTGAATGCTAAAGTGCATGAAGTAGGAACTGGAAGTGTGATTTTCGGTCTGCATTTGTTGTGAAAACAAGAGACCAGGTGTGCTAGGAATGGTAGTCATAGAAATGGAAGTCCTGGGTCCCATATGATTAGTACAGGTAAGGGTTAGTTGGAGTATTGGGGTTAGTGTAGTATGGGACAAATGTCTGGTGTACAAAGTAACGGGAACGGACTACGGTTCCTAGGGGACTACTATTCCTGTCACACCGGATCTTTATTATTATGTGCGGCACTACTATACTATGGTAATCATTCCAGGTGTGGGGATTGTCTGTCGGGTATTCGATCTCTCTGCAAACAACTTTCGCTCCCTTGCTCTGGTCTGTAAAAAATTGGGGACGGTCACAGAGATATTTCCAAACCCCGTACTGGTAAATCTGAAGATACCCTGTACGTCCGCTTGTTAGTCGTACATCACCATGGCTCTGTAAAGGGATGTGTGATGTGATATGATAGCAGCAACAGTGTCACTATTCCAAAGACAGACAGAGAGAGAGAGAGAGAGAGAGAGAGAGAGGCTAAATTTGGTCATCAATGAAAATTGGTGTTATTCTATCAGGCTCTGTTTGCAACCAAGTTGAGCCGGGCCTGGCAAAGCTGCGGCTCAAATATGGCGCGACCCACTTGAAATCATGCCACGTATTCCCTGCAGGGACGGCGCGCATGGGAGACGGGAATCCATTAGGGATGTTTGCGGCATGCTTTCAAGTGGCATGCTCAGCTAGGTCGCGGATTAACTTGGTTGTGAAAAGAGCCTTAATTAGACTCAACACTGATCATAAACGGTTGCAAGAATAAATATATTTTCTATAAATCCGACGGGAATGACCTAGTGGTTAGAGTGTGTGACTCCGGAACAGGAGGATGTGGGTTCGACATAAAACGGTGACCCCCGTCAGGGGCGGATCCAAGATTTGAAGGGGGAGTCCGAAACAACAGGCCTCGGATGCCAAACCGACCATTGCCCCCTTGGTGTGAGGTTCGGGACCTGCTCAACTACCCCGAAAACTTGTTGGTGTTTTGGAGAGCAAACAGTGCCCTTTTGTATGGGTTAGAATTTAGATAGTCAACATTCTAATTTCAAGAGGGGAATATTGGTGTGATATTTTTTTTCAGAAACTCTGTAAATCCGCCACTGCACTCTTTGCTCTTCGAGTACCTAGGGGTTGAGGCAGGGGGAAGTTCCTGGTCTGGCAGTGAAGGATATTTTCACATGCTAGCTTTCAGCACCTCATACTGCCCAGCTACCTATCCAAGCCAAGGAGGAGAGAATGTCTACACCCAATTTGTATCAATGGCTGGATCAAGGCCAAAAATGAGGAGTGCGGCATATGATTAAAAACTGTGCTTTACTTCTTTTAAAACCATGTTTAAAGCCTTCAGTAAAGTAGTCTTGCACATTTGTTCCCACTACTACATTTGGGCTCAGAATTGCAACCAGACTGGTTAGTTTTATCACATACCATTGACATCACAAAAAGAGAAAATGAAAGTGCAACCATTGGCAGTACCGTATGCAACTAGCAACATCAAACCCTCTTAAAATCGTCACTGCCAAATATGATTCCAAATCATATACGGGCGCATTTACCTGAGCATCCCCCATCCACATACAGCACAACAGAACGGTCAGAACCAACGGAACATTCCTCTCGACGCCCGCCATGTCTTTGCAGTGTTCAGCCTCTACCAGAGGACGCCAGCCAGGACAAAGGTTGTGCTTGAGTTTCCAGACGGAGAGTGACAGGCGGAGACATGCGATACGTCACAAGATAACATCTGAAGTTTTTAACCATCCACAGGCTGCCCAGTATCACGTGCACACGAGCGGTCTGGGAGCCTATCAGGCATTTGCCTGCGAGGTCCATCCAGTACGTCTCACGTGTGGAAAAACCTTTGTCCCGATTGCGAGCAGAGTAAATACTAACATATCGCGCCGTGGAAAAAAAGGATTGCTGATATCAGTCACTTTTTTTCTGTTTCATTCGAGACGCTTACTAGATGATTATTTATCAGAAATATATCCCGCCTGCTCGACAGTCACAGTGTACGTTTTTGACCGCGTTCCTGTTGGGTGCCCTTAAAACATGCGCAAGATAACATATTTTAACTCAGCTGGTAACTACCATAATCTTATCTTTTAACCTTTCGTGTGTATGTTAGCTTCCTACATGCATTATGTAACACAGTTTTCCCATTGCAACATGCCGGGGGGGGGGGGGGGGGGGGGGGGGGGGGGGCCGAAAAAAGCCCCCGAACCCAAATGTGTCCTTTTTTTTT